GGCTGTATTTATTAGATAAAAAATCAACACTCCAGAAGATTCATAATAACTTGTCGAATCGCAGGGCCTCGGGCCGGCGATGGTTCATTCAAATTTCTGCCCTATCAACTTTCGATGGTAGGATAGAGGCCTACCATGGTTTCAACGGGTAACGGGGAATAAGGGTTCGGTTCCGGAGAGGGAGCCTGAGAAACGGCTACCACATCCAAGGAAGGCAGCAGGCGCGCAAATTACCCAATCCCGACACGGGGAGGTAGTGACAATAAATAACGATACAGGGCCCTTTCGGGTCTTGTAATTGGAATGAGTACAATGTAAATACCTTAACGAGGAACAATTGGAGGGCAAGTCTGGTGCCAGCAGCCGCGGTAATTCCAGCTCCAAGAGCGTATATTAAAGTTGTTGCAGTTAAAAAGCTCGTAGTTGAATTTTGGGGCGGCCGCGGAGGTCCACTTCTTTGTGAGTACTTTTTGCGGCGGCCCTTCCATGGCCCTTAATCGGGCCATAGTTACTTTGAGTAAATGAGAGTGTTCAAAGCAGGCAAGCGCTTGAATCTTTTAGCATGGAATAATAAAATAGGACGATGATTCTATTTTGTTGGTTTCTAGGACCATCGTAATGATTAATAGGGACGGTCGGGGGCATTAGTATTCAGTTGTAAGAGGTGAAATTCTTAGATTTTCTGAAGACTAACTACTGCGAAAGCATTTGTCAAGGACGTTTTCATTAATCAAGAACGAAAGTTAGGGGATCGAAGATGATCAGATACCGTCGTAGTCTTAACCATAAACTATGCCGACTAGGGATTGGGCGACGCCTCATGTACATGACGCGCCCAGCACCTTACGAGAAATCAAAGTTTTTGGGTTCTGGGGGGAGTATGGTCGCAAGGCTGAAACTTAAAGGAATTGACGGAAGGGCACCACCAGGAGTGGAGCCTGCGGCTTAATTTGACTCAACACGGGGAAACTCACCAGGTCCAGACACAATAAGGATTGACAGATTGAGAGCTCTTTCTTGATTTTGTGGGTGGTGGTGCATGGCCGTTCTTAGTTGGTGGAGTGATTTGTCTGCTTAATTGCGATAACGAACGAGACCTTAGCTTTTATTTGCCCGGCCTAACCTTGTGTTGGGTGCGGGCCATAAAAGGACTATCGAATCCAAGTCGATGGAAGTTTGAGGCAATAACAGGTCTGTGATGCCCTTAGACGTTCTGGGCCGCACGCGCGCTACACTGACGGAGCCAGCGAGTTTGCCTTAGCCGAGAGGTTTGGGAAATCTTGAGAAACTCCGTCGTGCTGGGGATAGAGCATTGTAATTTTTGCTCTTCAACGAGGAATTCCTAGTAAGCGCAAGTCATCAGCTTGCGTTGATTACGTCCCTGCCCTTTGTACACACCGCCCGTCGCTACTACCGATTGAATGGCTTAGTGAGGCCTCTGGATTAAATCCATGGCTGGGGCGACCCGGCCGTGGGTTGAGAAACTGGTCAAACTTGGTCATTTAGAGGAAGTAAAAGTCGTAACAAGGTTTCCGTAGGTGAACCTGCGGAAGGATCATTAATATTGTTTTACACCCTTTTAGGCACAAACTCTAAATCTTAACCGTCAATAACTTTATCAAAAAACTTTCAACAACGGATCTCTTGGTTCTCGCATCGATGAAGAACGCAGCGAATTGCGATACGTAATATGACTTGCAGACGTGAATCATTGAATCTTTGAACGCACATTGCGCCCCGGGGTATTCCCCAGGGCATGCGTGGGTGAGCGATATTTACTCTCAAACCTCCGGTTTGGTCCTGCTTCGGCCTAATATCAACGGCGCTAGAATAAGTTTTAGCCCCAGCCTTTTTCCTCACCCTCGTAAGACTACCCGCTGAACTTAAGCATATCAATAAGCGGAGGAAAAGAAACCAACAGGGATTGCCTCAGTAACGGCGAGTGAAGCGGCAAAAGCTCAAATTTGAAATCCCCCGGGAATTGTAATTTGAAGAGATTTGGGTCCGGCCGGCGGGGGTTAAGTCCACTGGAAAGTGGCGCCACAGAGGGTGACAGCCCCGTGAGCCCCTCTAAAGCCTCTACCCCAAATCTCCAAGAGTCGAGTTGTTTGGGAATGCAGCTCTAAGTGGGTGGTAAATTCCATCTAAAGCTAAATACCGGCGAGAGACCGATAGCGAACAAGTACAGTGATGGAAAGATGAAAAGCACTTTGAAAAGAGAGTGAAAAAGTACGTGAAATTGTTGAAAGGGAAGGGCTTGCAAGCAGACACTTAACTGGGCCAGCATCGGGGCGGCGGGAAACAAAACCACCGGGGAATGTACCTTTCGAGGATTATACCCCTGGTCTCTATTTCCATGTTGCCCCGAGGCCTGCAATCTAAGGATGCTGGCGTAATGGTTGCAAGTCGCCCGTCTTGAAACACGGACCAAGGAGTCTAACAATCATGCAAGTGTTTGGGCCCAAAACCCATACGCGCAATGAAAGTAACCGGAGCGAAC